TGTAGTTTTACCTTTTTTTTTCCCATCGGCGAGCCGACAGAGGGGTTCTTCTTTGTTCTTCCGTGTTGGTGCTTATGTGTGCTCTCATTACAATCCTCGGCTCAAGGAGCGCACTCTTTACACATGCTAGTGGCCGGAATCAGATTGTAACTTACAATAGGTCGGGATGCTCTATGTTCATGTACTCAACCAGCTATATACACAAGTGAACTTCGACTGTTACATGTCGTATCCCTTATCTATCTATCTTTCTTTTTCTTCTTCTGGTCTCTCTGTAACACTCACTGTCTCGATGTGTCAGTGTGTCCTCCTTCCTTTTAAACAACTCAGTTAATCATCAGAATACACAACGTAGCAGTCAACAAAGTGTTGAAATACTGGTACCGGAAAACTACAACACCAAAATCCCATGAAAAAGAGAGCCCACACATAAGGCTGCAGTAGTGGAATTAATTAACTCTCCATGCTTTTAGAGAGTTTTAACACTGATTTACTATGGTCATTAACTTAAAAGTGACAATTTGAACAGTCAAATTAAGTAATTTATTTGCAAAGCCAAAATTGACACTGGCACTGTGTCCATAGCGATCGGTAAGGGGACGACGGGTGAGGGGGGGGGGGGGGGGGGTGGCAGGTTTGTGAGAAATATCAAGGGACTGCGGGTTGGAAAAGGAATCACATTTTTAATACATATATTTATTCTGCCAATGACTAAGCCATAGACGAGATACACTAGTCCACTGTATTAATGAATGTTTGCTTCCCGTCCCAGCTGTTACGATCGTTACTCACTTTTCCTTAGCCTTGAATATATATTATATGCCTTGATTGTGTGTGTGTGTGTGTGTGTGTGTGTGTGTGTGTGTGTGTGTGTGTGTGTGAGTGTGTGTGTGTGTGTGTGAGAGAGAGAGAGAGAGAGAGAGAGAGAGAGAGAGAGAGAGAGAGAGAGACAGACAGACAGACAGACAGACAGACAGACAGACAGACAGACAGACAGACACAGAGAGAGGGTGTGTGTGTACGTGATGCCATTCGTCTAGCATATCTTCAATATTATTACATGTATTATTTAAAACATCATGAAGATTACGGAATCTGATACCTAGGCCACTGCTTGAAAGCTATTGATCACTTGATTTGATTTCCAGCAGGCACTGTAATTTACATTAAAACTTAAAGGCGGATTGAGGTAATGCATGAAGAAGCCTATCTGGGCTGCTCGCTAATAAAAGCAATCAGGGAAAGACAAAAATGTAATTTTGGGACTCTTGAATAGACATCAAAATTAAATGCCTTGAACATCCAGCTCTCACTGGCAAAATCGGGGGCAAAGGAAGCAGGGGCAAACCCAGTACTTACTTGGAGAGCCTGTACAGATGGGTGACAGGGGAAGGATCAGGATAATGAAGGAGAATGGAGAACCATGATCGCCGATGTCTGTCGCAGATCTGGCACTTGATGATGATGATGAGTGATCATTGTTTGAATTTATCATGTGATAATAAGCGCTAAGAGGGAAGAATTTTCCTCTGCCCACTTGGAATATTTGAAGAAAAAAATTTATTTGCATTGCAGTGTTATTGTCAAAACTGTAAAAGGTTAATAAAGTGAGTAGGTATTAAACTTGAGAAAGCGATAGAAAGCTTTTAATTGAGCAACACTGTAGCTTATAAAATGAGACATACATACACATGAAAACTTTTATGAATCTAACAATTACCCCCAAAAATTGAGGTGGGGGGGGATGTCAAGTAGAGGTAAGAACTAGAGAAAGCAGCTTCTAATGTGGTGACATGCTGTATATATAGGTTTAGGGTCTGGGAGGAAGTAAATGTGTATGTATTTGTACGGTAACGTATTCATTGTACTCGCATGGGAGCGTATGTTGAGGGGGGGGGGGTGAGTACGTGTGTGTGTGTATGTGTGTGTATGTGTGTGTGTGTCGTGTGTGTGTGAGTGAGAGAGTGTACGTGTTTATATCTCTATGGGTCCCTGCAGCTATGGGTTTTTTTTTGTGTTTTT